TTCATGGTATTTTTATTATAATTTGAGAGGCAGTAATAGATATTAAAGATTCTTTGGCAGAAGATCTTTGTTTGAAAATGTTCCAAGGTTCAAAGCTCAGTTTTCTTGCTCTGCACCATTTGCTTCTCTGTCAAGTAGTGTTGACAAGTTCACAACACCAAATAGCCAATTGTTGTTCCTTTCTGGAACCTCCTTATCTTTCTTGGGAAACAGAGAGCTTTTTGAAATTTCCAAGTTTCTTCTAAGACTCTGGAGATGAAAGAATCAAGAGAGAAGAATCTGGCTCATCTTGGTTTCCATTTGTTCCATACACTTGATCAGAACGTGATAAATTCTCAGATTTCCATGAGAACTGATCAACACATCACCTATCATTTCAGCAAAGGTTGACAGGTGAGATGTTAAAAGATATCACGCCTTTAGGGCACCTGGTGGCTCAGTCAGGTAAGAATCCAACTGTTGATTTCGGCTCTGATCATGATCTCTCAGTTCATGCAGTTGAGCCCCACATCAGGCTCTGCGCTGGCAGAGCTCTGTGCTGGCTCTGTGCTGGGATTCTCTCTCTCTTCCTCTCTCTTGGTCCCTCAGTGTTCTCTCTCTCAAAAAAATAAATGAATATAACATGTCATGCCTTTCTTTCTAACAGTCTCTCCCACAAGGACACCATGGCTTAGGCCCTGTCCTTCTTTGTAATTCCCAACTACATCATGTGAATGGTATTTCATATTGGTCTTTCCAGGACAGAATATAGCTGTGGCCTTTCTCTGAATGCCTGATCAAGATTTTCTATGAAGTCTTAATCGTTTTCCCTCTTTGTTCCAGGACCCAAGCTACAGAAAAAATCAAAATCCAAGCTGGGAGCCAATCAAAAACCTAAAACCATTGTTTTCCAAACTGATAGGTTTGGAAACATTGAGCAAAGTAAAACTTTTCTTCAGTTCTTTTAGATGCACATTCATTAAAGCCAAGAGTTTTTCTACTTTAAGTACTTGAAGTATGTATATAATTGGCTGTTGTTCTAGAACAGTCACCACTCATGCAGTTTTAAACGGGTGTCAGAAAGCACTATCGTGCTCTTACTGTTGGTGTGTCATTGACAATTTGGGCTGCCTGTGTGCATGAGTGTCTTTCCTGCTGGATTGATGCATTGTCTTTGCAGGTGAACGTATGCTGTGCTGACTGTAGGGCCATGATGAAGCACCTGCATTCTGAGCATCAGATCCTCAACTGTGCTTGAAAAATACTTGGGGGCGGGGCACCTGGGTGGCTCAGTCAGTTAAGTGTCTGACTTCAGCTCAGGTCATGATCTCAAGGTCCGTGAGTTTGAGCCCCGCGTCAGGCGGTGGGCCGATAGCTCAGAACCTGGAGCCTGCTTCACATTCTCTGTCTCCCTCGCTCTCTGCCCCTCCACCACTCGTGCTCTGCCTCTCACTCTCTCTCTTTCTCTCAAAAATAAATAAACATTTTTTTAAAACTACTTAAAAATACTTGAGGAACAACTGTGTGGCTCTGTCAGTTAAGCCTCCGACTCTTGATTTCAGCTCAGTTCGTGATCTCACTGTTTGTCTGGTCGAGTCCCCCACTGGGCTCTGTGCTGACAGCACGGAGCCTGCTTGGGATTCTGTCTCCTTTTCTCGCTTCCCCTCCCTCACTTGCTCTCTGTATCTTTCTCAAAATAAATTAAAGTAAACTTAGTTTTTTTTAATGAAAATACTTGAAAGAGAGTAGGATCCCCAAAATAACACAATTATGAATTTTAAAAATTTCTATATAAATCAGGGCAACTCAAGCACCCACTCCCTACCCTAAATATTAGCCACCACACAGAGGAGAGTTCAGGAACCATCACATCTTCCTTTTAGGTTTGGACTGGAGCTTATCCTATCACCAGAATTTTTTTCTTGTAATTGATTCCTCTTTATTACTGGTTTTCTATAAGTATTTGAGTATAATTTCAGATCTTTTTTAAAAAGCTCATTTTAAGCAAGCTCGTAACAATGGCAAAGAGTCACTTTGAAATCAGTAAGACACCAGAGCACAAAATATACACGAACTAATTAACCTTACCTTCATGTTTATACTACGTCTCTAGCCAAGTCTGAAATGTTTTATGTATCATGACATTTCCCCTCCCGTGAAGAGTCTATTATCTTTGCTGAAACTTTATTTTCATCTCCATTAGTTAAAAAGCAAAGGAATTTGGCCCAAAATGCAAAATATTTTAAGAAATGGGGGTGCCTGGGTGGCTCAGTCTGTTAAGTGTCCCACTTCGGCTCAGGTCATGATCTCACGGTTTGGGGGTTCGAACCCCGTCTGTGCTGACAGCTCAGAGCCTGGAGCCTGCTTCGGATTCTGTGTCTCCCTCTCTCTCTGCCCCTCCCCTGCTTGCTCTCTCTAAAAAATAAACATTAAAAACAAATGTAAAAAAGAAATGGGAATCAGCTGTTTAAAAATACATACCCACCACCATCAGGAGCACTTATAACAACACAATGGCAACATTTGGGTAGCATGTCTTTGGCTGTTTCCAGAGTCCCAATGTGAAGTGGAGACATTGAGTTCAATTATGTAGCTATTTTGGTTTGGTTTGCCTAGCTTGAATGATTGGGATATTTGTCCCAGTTATTCCCTAACACTTTGTACATGCAGATGGAGGCTTACCTTGTGATTGGGTGCAGAACCTTCAATGGGGAGATGGAAACTCAGATTCTGTGTTTAAGTGGCCCACTGATTAAGCCTGTAATGTTGACCAAGTTACATCCACTGTGTGCCTCAGTTTATTCATCTTACAAATAGGCAAAGAGAGAGAAACCCCATTTTATTAAAGCCAATCAAGATGACTGGACTTAAAACCCTCTTCTGCAGCTTTGAGAGTAAATGGGACATAAAAACGAAATAATGTGTTAGACCAGGTTTCCTAGTAAACAGAGCCAGAAGCAGGAATTAAGTTCTGTTGCTTTCTTTGGCAGGTGTAGTCTCGGGGCAACAGAAGTGAAAGGAAAGAGAAGCGAGGCAGGGAAGGATAAAAAGCAAGGCCAAGCGATGCTTCACGATGGGCCTCAAAGAATCTGGAGCGGGAGGAGGGAGAGGAAATGTTTTTACCAATTTCCTGTCTATCTCCTGTTTGCCATTGGTCAATAAGTGCACCATGGGGAGTTAACACCCCGCACTTCCAGATTGAACCATCTAGTCCCTATGACACAGCCCATGGCCTGCAGGGCAGCATTCCATCGGAGCCAGGATGTCACAAAGAACCAGAGAGGTGGGTGTGTGACAGCATGGCGTCAGGCTGCAGAATGATGTCAGCCCTCAGTGAGTGAAAGCCACAGGAGGGACTGAGCAGAGAGAGCGGCTGAGAGCCTGGAGGCAAAGCAGAAAGAATATGAAGATATTCGTGAGATGTGTCCAGTACAAATGCAATTAGCCAAGTTGAATCCCTACTATAACTACAGGTTTGGCATACCTGTAAGTTAGGAAGAACTACCAAAGTGCCAATCACTTTGCCAAAGAACATGGCGTTGGCCAAAAACAAGGCCGTTGATGTTTCTGACTTTGAACAGCAAAGTTAAAATACGTTCTTAAATACATTGTTTAAATGGAAGGGACACGATGCTAAAAGCATAGATGATTTTAAGCCTTTCCAGAAGCCACCATGTCACCAATATCAAGGGTGTGAAAACCTCACACTAAGAATTAGCCCAGCTGTTCCCATAGCTAGAAATTCACAATAGTCACCATGTATGAGTCTCTGCTTCCCTGGTCATGGGTAGGAATGCCCTAGGAAGCAGGGCAGAAGCAAAATTCATGGGCACTGTCTTTCTATTAACGAGCTCACGTTTGAGTTGGGAGGGCAGGAGCTATTTATTTTTCTTTGTATGCTCAGCTTCTGTCCTTCTTCCTTCCTTTTTTTTTTTTTTTTTTAATCTTTATTTATTTTTGAGACAGAGCATAAGCAGGGGAGGGGCAGAGAGAGAGAGAGACAGACGGACAGAATCTGAAGCAGTTCCAGGCTCTGAGCTATCAGCACAGAGACTGACGCGGGACTCGAACTTGTCAACTGCACGATCGTGACCTGAGCCGAATTCGGACGCTCAACCCACTGCACCACCCAGGCACCCCAGTTCTTCCTTCTTTCTAACAATGGTGCCCTAGATATTGCTTGAGCACCCACCCTCCCCCTCACTCCTTGCAGTTTAGGTAGGACTGACCCCATCCCCAGCTTCAGGGCATGTGCCCCACGGCTGGCCCATTAGAGCCACATGACTTGTTCAGGAGTGGTTCACAGCCAACGTGAGCCAATTTAGCAGACAAACGTGTCTTCTTTTTTCTTCTGGATTTGGAGCTGGGGAGATCTATTTGTAGGGCTGCTGGCAGCCATTTGGCCTCACCAGGCAAAGCACGCCTGAGTAATAGAGCCAGCTCAATGGAAGGCAAAACTGAGAAATGGAGAAAGACTGGATCTCAAGAGCATTGTTAAAGCCTCTGGATCCAGCTGAACTCTTTGGTTACTGAGCCAATCAAGTCCCCTTTTTGCTTAAAGTAGTGTGAGTTGAGTTTTCTGTTACTTACAGCTGAAGAATCTGAACGCACAGGGAGACAGACTCGTGAGTAATCATGATGCAATGTGATCAATCCTCACATGAAGAGAGAAACTAAATAAATGCTTGGGGAGCCCTGGACAGAAAGTACAGCTTCTTTGGATCTCTATTAGTAAAATGACTGGGTCTGCATAGATAACCTTTAAAGCCCTCCAGTCCTGACCCCATCCCAACACTCTATGGCTCCTGAGGGCCTCCCTTCGGTGTCCAGGACTGCTACACAGGGCGTAAGCACACTCATGACCATCCATTTACTTTTCTCCACATTCTAGAATGTTCCATCAGATTATCAACACGGTGGGTCACAGTTTGTAAATGCAAACCCATAGCCAATTAGTGGAAGAGGAGGTGAGCCTGCCAATCGATAATCATCAGACCACCTCAGACACTTCCAAAACTTACCTCATGACATTCCTGGGTCCTTAGGTAAATCCTTAGACTTGAGTCTTAAGAAAATGAATCACACATGTGCCTTCCTCTCTGATGTGATGTGCAATGGTCAGGGTGAAGCATCGTAGCTGTTCTATATAAATACAAGAAGGATTTGAATACATAAGATGATGAGCAAGGTAGGAGGGAGAATAAGAATCAGAGAAAGTTCCAGGAGTCGTCATCATTCTAGCAGTGGACCACTTTCAGGGGTTCCTTTCCTGTAGCGCCTACAATAGTTTATTACAAATAAACACAGAGTTAATCCACAAAATGGCTTAGTCTCCTTCCCTGAACATGCAGATCCTTTAGCCAGAGACGGGGGCGGGGGGGCTCGTCCACACACCAGGTGTCATCTGGACAAAGGGGGTTTCTGCTCTCCTCGCTCTCTAGGCTAATTGCACATTTCAGACGCAGTGGAAATAAAAACCCATCATCCAGTCATCCACTGCTGCTGTCGACGCCAGCACTGCAGTTCTCAACAGAGGCAACTGGCTCCCGGCCATCCACATATTCCCACCTCTCACTGCGGTCATCATTCTGGTCATTACATCGCAACAATAGTAGCCAGATAACCACAGTCAGAACAGAGAGAGAGCATTCTTTAATGCATTCCCAGTATGGACCTCCCCAGTGTGGCTGGTCACACTGAAGAAAAATCATGCAATTATTTGTACCACCACCTCTGTGTGTGTGTGTGTGTGAGAGAGAGAGAGAGAGAGAGAGAAAGAGAGAGAGAGAGAAAATGGATGGGGCAGGGGCAGCACCTACCAGTAGCCAGGTATTATGTTAGGTACTCTGCATGCATTATCTTGTTTTGTTTTCACAATCATCCTGCCACATAAAAGCTCTATGGTCTCTATTTTACATAGAAACTGAGGCTCAGAGATATTTGCTAACTTGCCCAAGGTTACACAGCTAACAAGCAGTGGGAACTGGCCTCAAACCTGGAGGCGCATTCTTACCCATTACGCTCAGCTACCTCCCCTAGCTTTTGTTCTTTTCCCAGAGGTGATGTGATTCAATCCCACAACCCGCCCAGGTTGGGGGTTTTTTTTGGCCTAACAGAATTTCTTCCATGACCCCACTCCCAGTTTGTTCTGCTCCCTAATCCCGAGATGGAAAAGTTGCCAGATGAGACGGTATACTTGTAACTAAAATATCAATGTCATTCCCGGAGTGCTGCTGGGAATATACAAAAGTGCTCTGTGTTTATCAGTAAGCAGATAGTACATACGTGAACTCAACCTCTGACAATGTATGCGCATATGTATTTGGGTAGATCCGACACATGAGATCCTCTCAAAAAAGATCTTGAGAGAACTTTTATCCATCCAACACATTTTTATTGCCTATCTCCCACGTGACACTGGAACAATACTAAATGACTAGTTTGATCTTTGCATTTCTGGGGCAGACACGTAAGCAGGTGCAAATAGAGGGAAGAACAGACAAACTTCACAAATGTGCTGCCAGCCAAATCCTTTGACTGCCATGTGGAAAGACCAGAAATACAGGGAAAAGTTTTGAAGGAAGTAACATTTTAATTAAGCCTTGAAGGCTGAGAAGAATTTTGACAAGTGTAGAAGGGGAAGAAGAAATTCCAGGGGACACTGGGGGTAAAGAAAATAAGGTGGTAAGCTGAAGTCAGATCTTCACCAGAGAAAATAGTCTAATCTGATCGGTAGGTAAGAGGCCATTCGGGACTCTTGAGAGGAGCTTGACAGACAGAAGGGGCCAAACCATACAGGACCTTTACAGAAGACAGGGGGTGTTTTTGTACACCCGCCACCCATATTGCCTTTAGACAGCTGCTCCTCCTTCACTACGTGTGGTCCCAGTGGGTCTGTCATCACTGAGACCAGGCATCCACAGTCGTGGGGTGGGCACATGTCTCGGGAGGACCTAATCAGAGCCGGCATGAATGACTGGTCTAGGGCTGGACACAAGATCCTAGTAGGGTCAATCAGGGCTTCCCTGGCTTCACACGATAACAGAAAAAAGAAGTGCTTCTTTCTTCCTATGTTGAAAGATTATCAGTTTGCATGTGGCGGCCATCTTCCCCACTTTCTGAACAGACTGTGCCTGTAGAGTGAAGCCATGACAATGAGGGACCTGAAGCCAGGAGGTGACAGAGAGAGACAGGGCCCAGAAGACATTGATTGAGCCCCTGCACCCACCTCTGTCTGAGGCTCTAGATCCATCCTTAGACTCCTCAGTCACGTGAGCCATTAACTGATCTCCCTTGAGCTAGTTTGAGCCAAGAGTCCTGACCGGTTCGGCTACGAATGTTATACTAAGGAGTTTGGGCTTCCTGAGGTAGGGCTGGGAAGCCACTGAAAAGCCTCTCCTCTTCAATGCTTAGAGAACAGACTCGTACTGCAGACGGAAAGTCTATGGAGAGATTAAACAACCTTTCAGGGGTCAGAGGCCACATCCACAGAACCTTCTAACTCATTATGCAAATGAAAGCAGTTAAACCCTTTCCACAGCCACTGTAGAATAACACACTTTGCTACCAAAAGCTACCCAAAGAGCCACACTAAATGATAAACCTGAGTTAGAGCTGCACATTACTCCCAGTATCGTCAGCAAAATCTGGATAGTAGACGTCTCACCCCACAGGGTGACTATATCTCAAGAGGAGCAGGTGACTTGTAAGGTCAAGGAACAGGGCCTGAAACAGCATTACTGTAACAAATGTGAAGGGTCCGGTTACCTCCCTCTCTGAAACCCAAGACGTTTGAAGGAAAAGAGGTGCTGAAATATCTGCCGCTGGCAGTGACACCTGAGAACACGGGTGACCGCCCCTGCCCCCACCCCGCGCATGCAAGGGCAGGGATCGGGCCTTTTGCTGCAAATAGCTTTGAACCTTCTGCTTACCTCCAGCCCTCGCTTCTATCTCTGAGAAAAAAAGAAAACCACTTTGCTCTTAGCCCAGGCCGAGTGTATCAGGTTACTGTCACTTTGGCAGGTCCCTGTCACAAGATGAACCCTGACCAAATAGGAGCTACTCAGGGCTGGGAAAAGCCTCAAGTGGGCACTTGATCTTCCAGTGCCTCTGGATAAGAGAACATATAAGCCCAGGAATGTGCTTCCTCCGACCTGGAAGGCTCTGCCTCTGGGGCAGTTTCTTACCAGTCTGACTTAACATAGCAACAGGGTGGCGGGGGTGGGGGGGGAGGGGGGTGGGGGGGGGTGCCAGGGTGGCTCAGGTGGTTAGGCATCTGACTTCAGCTCAGGTCATGATCTCACAGTCCGTGAGTTCGGGCTCCACATAGGACTCTGTGCTGACAGCTCAGAGCCTGGAGCCTGCTTCGGATTCGGTGTCTCCCCTTCTCTCTGCCCCTCCCATGCTCATGCTGTGTCTCTCAATAATACATAAATGTTTAAAAAAAATTTTAACATAGCAACAAGGAGACGAAGTGGGGACAAAGGGGGTGGCATCGCCTGTCGTCACCCTCTGCCCATACCAACTCCTCCTCCCACTGCCCTTATAGGACACAGAACGAAAAGCCTGGGAGAAGCAGGACGTCAGCCAGTGGCCACTCAGCCTAGGAATGCTCAGCAGCATATGTGTACAAAGGAGGCTGGGGCAGGGGGAGGGGGCACGGAGATCCCAGGACCCACCATGGCTGGGGCTTAGAAGACTCAAAGCAAACTCTTCCGGCCATCACCCCACTGTATGTGACTAATTCCCAGACACTCATTTTTCACATTTCAACAACTCTGAAATAGGAATGTATCTGTAATCAATGGTGTGGCATACTTGAAAATTGTTAGCTTTTCCTTTCCTGGGGATTTCAGAAATAATGGTGTGTTTTACAGCTGATGTTTTTCTAGGTTCAAAAAAATAACGATATGCAAGACCACCTGCTCACAGTGTTAAACTAAAACTCCCAGTCTATTCCCCAGAGACATTTTATAATCCAAAAGACCCACTGCAGCAGTGAGAGCGGGAGTCACAAAAACCAGAAGGGACCCTGGTGCTGCAAGAGAGGCAAATGGTCTACGCCACTCAGTGTCCTCAGAAGTTGTAATGTACAAAAGAAGGTATGAGCTACAAATCACTCACATTTGGAAAATGGCAGATTGATGCCTCCTATAAGAAGTCATCAGCTCTGATAAGCATTTCTCATCTTGATGCCTGAGTTGAGGGCACATGGTGGCAGGGGTGATAAAGTGATTGGGATGCTGGTAATATGATGATGACAATGATAAGACCTAACATTTAGATAGACCTTTATAGTTCTCAGAACATTTTCCTGCACATTACATGACCTCATGACCTCAGCCGGTATCACCACCCTTTTTTTAAGTTTATTTCTTTATTTTGAGATTTATATATAGATATAGATATATAGATAGATAGATAGGTATAGATAGGTATAGATAGATATAGATAGATATAGATATAGATATAGATATAGACATATACAGAGAGAGAGAGAGAGAGAGAGAACAGGGGAGGGGCAGAGAGAGAGGGAGAGAAAGAATCCCAAGCAGGCTCTGTGCTGTCAGCGCAGAGCCCAACATAGGGCTCGATCCCGTGAACCATGAGATCATGACCTGAGCCATAATTAAGAACCGGACGCTTAACCAACTGAGCCACCCAGGCACCCCTCTTCCCCCTTTCTATAGATGAGGACACTGAAATATAAGACATGGGTGTCTCACCCAAAGTAACATGGTTAGTCAATAGTTAGTCAATGGTGGAGATTTTACCGGACTTCTCAGCAATACAATCTTTCCTTATGACCCTTCAACTATTCCACCAGGAACGAGGGAAAGATTGAGCCTGAGGCAGACCTTTCTCCAATCCTTTCGAGCTCACAAAGTAGAAATGAGTGTGATAAGTTTACTTTTTTACCAACATTCCAGAAAAGAAAATGTTGGTTAAGGAGAGTTGAAAGGACAAACTCGTGTTTTAAGTGTCCATGTTTAAAATGATGTGTATAAATAAACAATTAAATAAACAAATCTATGTGTGTATTAACACTGAGATTTGAAATTTTTGTATAATAAATTATGTTTGCCTCAAAGGCACTTTTGTTAAAGTGGTACAAATTTAGAAAATAATAAAAGG